TTACTGAAGCAGGGAAGCATTGTTTGCCTGCTTCACTCATCAATTTGCATCTACATTCAGATGCGAGATTATATACACCAGGTTGTATACTTATTTCAAGAAATGCTAGTTGCTCTGATTTCTCTAGGGAAATCTAATGATGGAAAAGTTTATCTTTCACATTGTAGCTGGAGCAAATAAGAATAATTGTAAATATCCATTTATTGTTCACCGAGGTCTTAGAATGACAGCTGCACAACTCACCCCATCTGCGTATTTTTGCAGAACGCATAGGATTGTTGAGGTTTCCTTTTAGATTTTTTTTTCATGCTCCATTTTAGATTTTCATATTATTCTATTCCTCTGAATGCAGAGAAATAGGAATGGGCCTGTTTCTTAAGAGATTAATGAAGCATTGTCCTGGCTATACGTTGCCACTGAGTAAAGAATACCTGCCAGCTCCTTAGTTGGTGGACACCAGGTAAGTCCTTTCAAGTCAGTAAAGCTGTGAAGCTTTCTTGAGGCTATCTAAACACTCTATTCAGAGAGTTAACATGGATCATTGCTGACTATTGCATGCAGCTATGCAAAAATCTCATTTACAAATTAAACTTTACTTCTGCTTTTGACCTCCTTTCTCCATCTGTCCTCTGCTACTTAAAACACTTTGTCTGTCCTCCTTTCTTTCAAAAGTCATTGGCAAATGCCAGAGGTAAGCAGTTATTATCATTTATACCTAACATCACAGCAGCCTAATACCAAAGAGCTTACAGGTTTGCTCTGACAACCCAATACAAATGTCATATGTGGAGAACACAAAGATACAGGATCAGAGACTCATCTGCTCTGCAACTTAGTGTATGAAATATAAATAGATCGAAATGTCTCTTTGATACTGGTCATTTCTCATTCACTCAAGCAGATTCCTTAGGAAATCTCATCCCTTATCACATTATTCATAAGGCAAGACCATACGCAGACATCCTGCTGTGTCCAACACCACATAAAATTCTGCTGCTCCCAACGCAGGTGGGTTGAGCTAGTAGTTCTTCCTGCCCTGCTCCCTCCCAGTCCCTTTGTGCAATGTTTCCCTGCAATATTTTCAATGTCTTCCTCCAAACCACCCATCCCAATAACAGCAGTACATCCTCCCAGCTACATCCTTCCCCAACTTGTAACTGCCAACTTTCCACCAACATCCTTTCCTCTTTCTTCTGCTTTTAGGAAGCAGAACAAGCGGTGCTCCTGTTGCATGGGAAATTTGACTTTCCAGTCCTTGCAGGTCTAAAGAGTACCGCCAACCTATCATTAGGATGGGGTGCACTACAGGAAATAACAGCAAGTGGAGGTCCAAATTCTTCTCGGTTAAACCAGGCATGTCCGTGTGATCCATATGCTTATGATGCCATAAGTGTCTCTAAGGAGATCTTAAGGGCATGATTTCAGAGCAGGAGGTGACAGGAATACAGTACGGGCAGAGCATCTGGAAAACTAGATGACATTCACATCATCTTTATTACTGTTTATGGTCATACTTAACTCCCAGACTTTCTCTCACACTGTATCAAGCAGAGGAAAGGGGGAGGTCATTGAAACCTGCTACTCACTCAGAGATACACAGTGATGTTCTGCTCAGTGGAGCAATGTTTGATCTCATATATGTAGGTTATAACTTGAGTATCTGCCATCCCACCACAATAGCATCCCTGGGTATTCCTCCAGCTTGGTTTAGTCCACTTCCTTTTCTTTTTGTCTATTCCAAGCCTCACTTCATCAGAATATTGCATACAGACTACGTAAACATGCAAGTGACACAACATCCTACCTTTTACTTCTTGCTTTCATTTTAGTACTACATTAATAGTTTTTCATTGCTTTTAAGCCCACCACAAACCTGTTTCAACTGCCTGCAGACCTTGTCTAACTCCTGTCCATCCCAGTTCCCTAAGCTTGCTTAGCATTTGCCTCTTTATTGGTCTAGTGCTGGGGCTGGCCAAATATCAGGAGGTGAGGGCAAATTAAGAGAATAAAATACATTATCCAGTGAATAGTGCAACAGAATATACTACCCATACAATCAAATAGCCTCCATCAGCCCATCTTAAACACTTGTGCAGCCAGACTTCAGTCTCTCTGCCTGTGTACTATCAAAGCTCCTATTTCCAAATGGAAGAAAAAGTTAAGAAAAGTTAGCTAAACTAAATGCTGCACAAGAAGATACGGTACTGACATCACACATGAGCAAGACAACTTATTCCATGAGTTGCTGTCACATTTGTGGTAATACCTTCTGGAGACATAAATTACAGGAATTCAGTTCAAAAAGCAATCTTAGCTACTACCAGGAACAAAGCCAGATGTTAAGTGACGGTCTGGGAGATACAGAAAGGAATGTAAGGACTTGATCCTGCAGTGACTGTTAAACACAGTGTGTGTCATATACATATATACAAAGTTGCCAATTCTTAGTAGCTTTCCCTTTACAACTTACATGGTAAATCCTATCACGTCCTAGCTGCAACAAAACAGTCCTCTTAAAAAGCAGTAGAGAAGGGGCATTCTCAGGGATGTTTAACAAAAAACAGAGATATTTTGGGAAGAGATTCTTTTCATTTTGGCGGAACACAGTGTTGGGAACACCTGTGAAATAAGAAAAGGATGAAGAGATGTAGCAACCACACACCCTAAGAAGCAGCCTTGGTTTGATATTCAGCAAGTTCTTTCATTCAAGCATTTCTTCTGCTACCTACGTTACCTAGAAAAATGGGAGCTGGCCAAAACCAAAAGCCCCAACCCTGAACTTAAAAGTACTACTTCAAACACTAGTCAAATAGAACCAGATATCTGGGGAAAGGAAGACTAAGGACAAACCTACATAATAAGGCTTGGCTCCCAGAAACAGAAACTCCTACCACCATCCATTTCCCCTCCAAACAGATAGACTCAACAGAAGAACTCACAAGAGCTCAAAAATCTCACTGGTATTTAATGAGGGTAAGTAAGCACTGATGCACATTGTGGAAAGTTACTCTAGACTAAACAAAAAGCGAATTCAATGTAGACTAATGAAACTGTATTTCAACCCTCTATAGTTGGGCTTGTTCAGAATTAAAGTAGCTGTAATCAACTGTAACATAACTCAATTTTGAAGAAAATTGAGTAAAATAGAGACCACGCTGAATAGCTACGGTACACAAAGGTAAGGACAAGCAGACAGAGTGAAATGCTGGTACCAAATCAGATCAAGCTTCTCAATTCTTCCATGCAAAGAGTTCCTAAATGAATTTGGATTACTTTGTGTTACTTAACTTGATCCATCAAGTACAGTCCTTACATCATGCACTGAAGGGCATTAGATTAGTCCTTAGATTGTGCATTGAAGGGCATTAGATTCTGAGTATTGTGCAGTATGTGTTAGGAGGAGCAGTACCCCCAAACATTTGCATCTCCCTAAAAGGATGCCCATCTAGGGTTGGCTGAGTACATTCACCCTAGCTGCAGCAATGACAGCTGATCAAGGGAGACTTTGCTGTTGCCAAAAGGACTGATGAGGGCCAACAACCATACGAGATAAAAGGCTGAAGCTCTTCCAGTACTAAAGATTGACCTGATCCTGACACATAAGACAACACCACTCATTGCTGGTCACACCTGAGCTAGGACTTTAATCAAAAAAGCAGAAAACAGGTGATTATTTTTGCACATGTAAGCTATACCATTAGACTCAGCACCCTGTGGACTCCTGCTGCATTGGCATTGAAGCTGTAATCCAGTAGTTATATCTGGCTGGCCAGACACTTCCTCCACAAAATGGGTATTTATAAGACTGTTAAAATTGTCAGCCTCAGATTCTGAATTCAGCCTTCCTAATGTAAATTTCCACTCACAAAATTGCCTTAATTTCAATTTATGTTGTTCATTTTAGTTTCAAACCACCTACCTGCCACATAAATAGCCCTTACTAGCCTAGACTGACTAGTCCTGACTTTTACTGGTTAAAAATCAGCAGAAACAACTGATTAAGGCAGGGGTCTGGAAAGAGTCCTCTATTGAGACTTGGAATCTCACAGTCACTTAAAGATTTTTACAGGGTGAATTTTTCTTGGGGGCTGTGTGCCTCAACTCATTCTGTAGTTCCTAGGGGAGCAAAATGAATATGTGAAGCACAGTGAGGAACAGCCTTTTACAAAGGAATCACTAGCTCACCACATTAAACTCCAGCCTCACTTCACTTTGCGGTTTGCTGAACCTCACAATGAAGCCCTGGACTTGAGCAGCAAGATCACCTCACTTCCTGGACTTCAGCTAAACAGGACCCAAAATATACACTAACACCAACTACAGCATGCACTCACTACTTCTAAAGTCCAGCTTTGAGTGGCATCAAATTACATTTTGATAAAATACACTAGGGATGTGGCTCAAGCCTCTGTTAAATCATGGACAGCTGGCACATTATTAATCTTTGATTTCACAGCAGTCTCCTTGTGCTGGCACCTTTACTTCCTGACATCTCAGCCTTTTGAGAGCTAATGACTGGCAAAAGCAGCATTGCCAAATCCGAAGGACTTCATTACCAATTTAAACCAAAATCAACCTCCTTACAATGTTTCCTGCCTACATTGATCTTTCAGCCCAGGACTTCAGATCATCAGTCCCACCAGGATAGACATTTGGAGTAGATACCTACCAAAGCTGCGTAAAAAATAATTCAAGGGTACACTGCAAAAGATGTCTTCACAAACTCCTCCATCTTCTCTGAAGAGTTCAAGGAAACCCACACCACCAGTAACCCTTCCCTTCTTGCAGGTCTCATCCTTCAAGGACAGGTTAAAAGCACGGTCAGGAATGATCTAGCAGCTCCTTAGAGCTATCAAGGACTGATTCAAACATGTCTCATGTCTCATCCATGTCAAGTGGCCAACTTCGGTAAGGAAGTAAGGACACCATCACATGCATTGGAATAGCACCAGCACCTTAAGACCACAAACACTGCAACGGCATAGCGGCTTAATACTCACACTCAGCAGGAGGCACTTGTTTTCTTTGATGGCACCTATGCAGCCCACGAAGCCAATGATCATGACAAATGTCCCTGTGACGATCAGTAGGTTGGCAGCTGACAGGGACGGGAAAGAAGAGGAGAGGGTGGCAAAGTTCCCTTGGGTAACAGCCAGCCAGATGCCTACTCCCAGGATTCCACAACCTCCCAACTGGTAAAATAGAGAGAAAAAAAGAAACTCAGTTATCGTATCTAAGCAACCCCAGGTATTAATCCGTATCAATATGGCAGCAGTAGAATGGCTCTGCTGGGGTAAACCCAGCAGTGACACCTAATAAGAAATGATCTCTCCCTATGGCACTTTCAGTAGGGAAAACAGACAAAGGAGAAAGAAAAAAAAAAATCATAGCGGGGGAACTCATCAGTAAGATGTAACACTCAAGAAAAAGACCCAGATTTCCTAAATCCAAGACACAACTTCAAATATCAGGTCTCTTCCTCTCAGTCAAAAAGCAGACCCTGAGTAAAGGAGAAATTCCCAAAGATTCAGATCTCAAGCAGCCACCACAAAACCATAAAATTTACAATTATTATATACACAAGGAAATTTTAAAAAACGCAAACATTTATAAGCATGCTGCTTATAATTGCGAGAAAGCCTGCAGAATTGTAACAATTTGAGTAAAGCTGAGCAATTAAATAGAATTAAACCAAAGGGTTTTTTGCATTATTATATAGTCACACAGCAGAGCATCACTTAGGTTTCTTTCTTTCCCTTTAAAATAATGAATTTTTATTGAGTTTTATAATTGCCCTTTATTATCCAAATCAATTAAAGGCTAGGAAAGAAATTGTGTTCATAGAGTAGTAAGCCAGATGTAGGAGCACATCAATTAAAAGTTCATCCATAAAATGGATGAACATAAGGCAGGTCATGAACCAGGGAAGGAAAAAGAGAGAGCTAATCCTGGGGCAGAGCTAAGCCTCAGAAATGAAACACAGAAGAGAAACACAAAAGCCAAAGCAATTTCTTAGTATTAATTGCTAAGGTTGCCTCTGCATGCCACTGAATTCCCACTCAACAAGGGACAATAAAGGTGGCCATGTCTCAGGGCAGGACTCCTCACCCCAAGTTGCAAACCAGTCTGTTTTGTTCAGAACTAAGGAGACAAACTATACCTGATTGTAACGTACCTCAGCTGCATCAACCTGCATGTCTCCACTGAGAGAGACAAGACTCCAGGACACAGGAACTCAAATAATTTCATTCAGCAGCCTTTTCACATACCAGCATCCCATATCACCATATTCACCCTTTCAGCAAAATACCCTCTACAAGCACCACAGAGAGACAGCCCATGCCCTGACCTGGAAATGCCTCCCCTCTGTGCCCACTTATGGACCATGATCTTTAACATGGTCTAAAATGATTGAAGAATAACCAGGGGAGAGGAGGGGGAAGAATACTTAAAGAAGGTAACCCACAGAAAATCATTTAGGGTAACTGAGGGGATATAAACAAAAGCTATCAACATGGCCCAAGGAAAAAAATGGGAAAAAAAATTAGGAATAAATTCCCTAAAACAGGAATAAAATTCTGAAGGTCTACTGGACTACAGAACAGCATCGAAGGAGAGGTGGCAGACACCCAAGTTAAAACCGAACTGGTGAGAGCACTGAAATACAGTCAGGAATAGCACTAAACTGGCCCAGGAAAGGGATGGAAAGCACAACTGCGCTTCTGCCTCCACATCCTGGTGGACATTCTGCCTCAAAATCAGCCTCAGAGCTGCAGGCACAGTGAGACCACACAAATGGCCCAATTAAGCCTAACAAAGCCAAATGCCCAGCAGCAGCAGAGGCATCACATTGCAATATGTTTAGCTGTTATCTTCAGTTCTTTGTTCTGAAGCAATTCAACAGCACCAATGACAGGCAGCTTATTTTATCATCTTTCAAGCTCCTTGTGTTGCTACACTGCTTTGAATGATACTGACACCTACAACTATCATTTTTATTATGGGAGGTGGGTCTCACTGAGGACGCTGTTGTGTTCGGTAGAGGCAAGACCTGCTTGCCTGCTCCTCCATCGCCGATTAAATTCTTTATGATGTACAAAGCATAATGCTTAAGACATCGTTGCCCTTAGGACATTTGCTTCCAGCATCTTTTCCCTCCAAAGTCATTCTTGTCTGTAGAAACTGGGAATTCACCAGCAGCACAAAATACCACAAAACCAGGAGACGGTTCATGCAAAATGCCGCAACTGTGGCTGTACCCATTTAGATCAGGGCTGAATATTTCAGGTCAGTTGGTCAGCAGGAGTATCTCACTACATTGCCCTTGATTCAGGGATACTCTAATATACATCAGGCTCTCTAGCAGCTCATTATCTTCCTATTCTTGAAGAGATAATGCACAGCTCTTCCTTAGCTTGATTAACCAAACTCTGAAACGCACAAAGGGATCCTTTGAGCATTAAACAATCCAGCTCAAATTGGATTTCACAAAGTGCTGCTTAGGAAATGTCAGCACACGCTACTGAGGGTTGCTCCACCTTAGTTCAGCCCTGTTCTTTTTCCCACACTAGAATGTACCCTCACGGTCCTTGAATAAAGTCACTAAGCTGTCACACCGGGCCCTGGGAAACAGAGGATGCCCTTAACTCTAGTCTAAACTGCTCTTTAAAGCCCCCTTTCCTGCCAAGGAGTGAAGCACACCTGTAAGTCTCTGTCCAATGACCATAACAACACTCAAGCACCTGGTTAAGGAAATGCTTAAGGGACCCAGGACCCACCAAGACAGCCACAGGAGCCTTTCCAATGATAGCAGAATATTTTCTGTTCCTGAACATTCAAAAAGCTCGCTCTCCCCCCAGTTTTGAACTGAACAGCAGCGTAATTCCCAGTCTAAGATCCAGGGATCAGAGGGACCACGTTTATTTATTCTGGATCACAGCAAAGAGAAAACTGTTGTAGTTGGTTCTATGCTGCCTGTCTGTTTTGATTTCTTCGTCTTGGTATCTAAGGAGCTGTTAAGCTATGGATAATTTTACTTAGTTATTTATGATGTTCTCTTTCCTCTACTTTTTCTCTCCCTACCCCATCCCCATCCCCCAGTCCTTGTTTGTGCCAAACAATCAGAAGCAGAGTGATGAGATGATAAGTCTTGACAGCTTTCAGGACTTGCCAAGATGTGAAATTAAACAAACCCAAAACCATTAACAGGACTACTCATGACAATTTGGGGGCTTCCATGCAAACAGTGAAGCCTTCATGGTTAAAAGACAAAACATTAAAACAAAAAGATTAGCAAGAAGTCTACAGCTTGAACCTGATCTATTGGCAGCCAAATGTGAGTCCGTATTGACTCCATGTGGTGAGTGCACGGCTGACTTTTAAAAAAAAAAAAAAACAACAAATCCCCCTCAAAGATGTCAGGCTACTGACAACAGCATTTTTTTAATTCCTTTCTGAAATATTTAACACATTATTTGCCTAATTGTTCTTGATAATCCACTCTCTTGCAAGCAAGGCAGCTCATGGCAAAATCTGAAACAAAATGCAGCTTCCTCTAACATTTTTTCTTCCAGTAAATGTTGCATTTTTTTGTAAAATCTTTTATTCTAAGGCCAAAACAGTGGGACACCAGATGGGATAGTGTCATAGCCCTAAGACTTAGGAGATAAGTGTCTGTTCCAGGACAGACCTCAGTGTAAATCGCAAACAGGCTGTTTAGTATGTCTGTGCCTGAGTTGCAAAATCATGAATACAAAGACACAAGAAGTGGGTTCTTTGCAAGCCCTGGACTTTGCAATTGGCTGTGGAAGGAGCAGTTTATTCTGCTCAAGACAAATTGCTCATAGGCATTTATACAGCAGAGTCAAGCAGTAAAGCGGGTGGCTTACTTGAAAAGCATAGATTCAGTCTGTCTCTCCTTCCCCACCCCAAGAGATACACAGACACGTGTGCAAGGGCTCTCTTGGCAAAAAAGCTGCCTACAGAATTAGATCCTCCAAATTGTTCTAATGGGCTAGAAAATAAATTATTCAGACTTCAGTGCATACATTTAGAATTGATCTTACAGTATGGTAAACAAAATAATCCCAAACAGCCCTGGATATATGCATGTTGGAGAAAATTATTCTGAAGTTACAGCTACACACTTAAAATACTGCAGGAGAAATTGTCTCATTGTTCATGATAATGGTGTTGGTGTCTTTAAGTGGGTTTTTAATTGGTTTTACTACACGGAAAATGCATCTAATCGAGGCTTCTCGTACTGTATCTGATCAGGATCTACCCACCACACTTCCTCTTTTAGATAAAAAAAAATTCCTCGTGTATTAAAAAATACACTGATAACAGAACACAAGTGGAAGGTACGACCAGTTGTTTTGTAGTTACACTAACTCACTTGGAGGGTTTTTCTGCCCCAGTCTCCACATATTTAAACTAGAAGGGCTTTCTCAATCCCACTTGCTATCCAGTTACTCTTGTGTGAATGTGCTTCCCCCTCTAACTATGGAGTAAGAGTATACAATGGAAAAATCAACATCAATGTATTAATAGTAGTGATGTGAACACTATCCAGCAAATGTTCTTGTAATGTAAGTCATACTTAAATTACTGTTCCTTTCAGCTAGACACATAAAGGAGGTGGAAATGGAATACATATATACATCAACAGGATCAAATGAATCAAGAATCTACATGGAAAAAGCAGAAGTGTGTGTGCTAATGCAGAGACCGTGGCGCTCCATATAAGCACATGCAAACAACCTGTCAGTGCAGCTGCTGCCTATCTTGGAGGAAGGAGTGGCCACTTCTGGAAAACACCTTCAAGCCAGCAGTTCATGTCCATTAGACTATTGAAGACCTTGCAGACATCCAACTGCACCACACCACCACTACCGACTGTCAGTACACAGGATGACTGAATTTGCAATGGTGTCCCACCACATGGATGGACACTTTAGCAGAGCTCATGGGACATATGCTAGGAGTATTACCTCAGTGTAGCAGAAGCTGCATTTCTTTCGCTAGTCAGACACGTGAAATTTAACAAATATGGGATGGTATATTAAAATTTAACAAATAAAGGACGGTATAAAATTTAATCCCTTTGTGTCTCTGATTTTAGAAAGTTAAATGGAGTAGTAAATGGGGAACTGCAGCACATTTCTACCCTTAGCATATTGAGGCTCTAGAG